TTGAATGCACCTGTTGATGGAGTTATTCTAGTCCATTCACACGGATACTGTAATTCAGCAGTTTTGTGCTCCACTTCACCGCAGTGTGTTACAACGCCTCCCTAGAACGTCCTTCTGTGATTGCATACGTGACTGGATGGTGTTTAAAGCCAGTACAACGCGTAGAAATAAAAAAACTTGGACATGTGTTATGGAATAACGTAGGAAATTACATGGTTATCAGGAAACGTCCGATTTTGCCTACTGTTGGCCTGTTTTTCCATAAAACAGGTCTGAAATGATTTCTTTAGCAAAAGGCTTTCTGTGCCTCGAGTTAATTCAATAAACAAAAATAAACACACCAAATATATTTGGTGCTACCCTCTCAAATGCCGACCCCGACATTACATGCGTCAGGTCATCGACTGTACATAAGCAGCCCGAGTTCGATACAAACAACATTCAAGAAATATGAGACACGTTGGTACAGGCTTTAGTCGTGTAGACTGTGTTTTGAGCTTTGACTTTTCTGTCTCTCCATGCCCATCGTCCGAATAAATCTGAGTTTTCGTGTATCTTCCATGTGTTACTCATGCTATGCAATGATAAAAGGCCATCGAGACGCCGTCTCAAAGTGTTTGACGGCAGTGCGCATTGTTCTACAGTATCTCTCTTTTGCGAACCCATGATTCAAGATGGAATACTGTCGTCTTAACGATCAAGTTGACTAGACTTGCTTAACTTCCAGTTGGTGACAAAGTGTCGTCAACGTTATGTCAAGGTGTCTGCTTCTGTCACTAAGTCAGTGCTATCAATCCTTACCCTGGAAAAAAAACATAGTTGCTTGAGCACGAGTTTCACCTGGCATTCGCCCCGTGGATAAGGCAGTCGAATTCTTGTAAAACTGTTTGCTGTTCCAGTATGTCACGGGAATAGGAGTTGCCTGGGAGCCTTCATAAAATGGGTATTTTTGATAAGGTTGGGGTAATTCATTGTGTACAGGGAACAAACTCATGTACTGGGGTCGGTGTTCTCTTCCTTACAAAACGGGGAAGATTGGTGGTTCTGTTGTTATATGCGTCCTGCCACCAAACGAACACAACTAAATTGGATTTGTGATTCTGCATCACCCCTATCAAGAATCTCTGGCGCAAAACCCAGAAATTTCGTGCATTTTTTAAGCCTGGTTACTAGCGACCGGCATTTCGTGCTGTAGGTCTGTAATCATTGAATTGAGCAACGTGGTAAGTAAAACTAATCCGAACCTAGCGACTGAGCAGCTCGTCGATGGCTCATGGCTTAGGTTAAATATTCAAATATGGTGTTGCAGCCGCACCTGTAATGACTAAACCCCGACTGCCTGTAATACAGGAATGATGGCAAAGGGGGTTTTAGGGGTGGGACAGTCGGACACGTCAGTGAGGTGGCTGTGAAATTGCAGTTAAGAAAATGAGCTAATGAAGTGTGCAACGAAGCTTCCAATGGGGTGAAACTGAAGCGCAAATGAAGAAAATACTGTAGGGATCCAACTAGCCAACCATAAGTGACAATGCGTGCTCATGGTCACTCCACATGGTGTGCATGAAGGCAATGGCCAACCAGGAGATGGGTGCGAGGTTACTCCAGGACGCAGGCAACGCAGATGGCAAAGCAACAGAGATAAAGCAAGTGTATAATGAGGAGGTTCAGTTGGCTTACTGTAAGGAATGGAAATTGTAAACGTACGATAACGATAGACGCCAATTTGGAGGCTGAGAATTTAGTTGACGGTTAGAGTTTCCGTTAAGTTTAATCGTTAGAGCTTGGATTGCGGCTTAAGCTTGGTGTTAGGGTTGGGGTTAGGATTCTGGTTAGGGCTACGGTTGCGGTTTGGGTTAAAGTGAGGGCAACCCTAACCCCAAACTCTGACTCGAACCCTAGCTCCGAGCCCTAAACCTAACCCTAATTCCTACTTTAGCCCTAGCCCTGACTCTAATCTTTATCGTAACCTTAATCCTAACCCTAACCGTTGCCTTCACACTAACCCAAACCGTAACCATAACCCTAATCCTAATCCTAACCGCAATCCTAGCACTAAATCTAAACCGCAATCCAAACCCTAACCGTAAACTGAATTCTCAACTTCAGACTAACCCAAACCCTAAGACTAACCGTATCTCTAAACTCGAACACAAGACTGCCCTTTTCCGTCTCAGTAAGGTGTAAGCATAATCTCGCCTACTCAAGACAATTCAGTAGCCTATAATTATAATTTTCATCAGGTGACGCTGCGAGACCAGATCTTATAGGTTAAAGTAGTTGCGGGAAACACCGTTAGTTCCTTGCAGGTGCAGTGAATATAATTTGGGTAGGGGCCGTTTAGGCGACCCGTCGCAGGACATGGGAATAGGAACCCCTCCGTAATGCAGGTGGCTTTGCGCCAAATCCCCGGGAAATTAGGATTAGGGTTTGGGTTAGGACGCGGGAATATGTAGCCTTCATATAATTTAGCGCAAGACCACCTGTATTACGGTCAGAGGGCGTTCCATTCCCGTGTCCTGCGGGCGGGGTGAGGGGCGCACAACGATCCCTACCTTGAAGTGTTGCAACCAATGCAGAGCCTTCGGCATAAATCTGTCCATCCCACCTCACGAGTCAACTCTGGTCAGATTTCTCCAGTCAACGTTCGTGGATCCTAACGTGAACATGTCATGCTTAAGTCGAAACTGCGAGGGCAATGACGGCAGCCTAATGCTTCTATAGAAAGAGGAGGTTTATAATGTTTAGTGTTTTCGGCAATGGGAGGGTTTTCATTCCCTCGTTTTTCGTGACTGGTTCCCCAGCCCACTGTCAAACGCAGACTACATACAAATGAAAGTTAGGCCGCGAGTCTCCAAATTCTGTTGAAAAGAAGAGAGGCCAATCGTTGGAGCCGTAATAATAGATGTCCCAGCCTTCGGACACGCCCAGCCTATTTTCAGTAACATGGCAGTTCGGCCGTCGTTGTCGACGATGTCCATCGTGTGCTCCTCAGCAGGGTGAGAGCAGGGACAATGACTTACGCGCGAATTAGTTTAAAGCGATAGCAGACTTGCGCGAAATCCACCGCACTCTCTCCTTCTCCACCTGGGCCCCGTGTCAAGAGAGAGTCAAAAAGACCGGAGGTGGGAGGGGATGCAGGTAGCTTGCACGGCGTAAACCCGCACCTAGGCGTGCCACTAAATCCCTCGTCCAGAACGTTCACTGACTGGGCTTTTACGTAACAAGAGGCAAGGCGGGGCGGCTCGCATCCCACGGAATAGGAGTGTCATAGAGGCCACATTAAGAAGGAGCCATTGCAACCCGACTCACAGTCCACCAATCGGCCACTCCACACAAATACACACTGAACTGACCGCGAGGTCCGAACTATCCCGTCAGTTGGCGACCTTCCAAGCCACGGCGCTTAGCGCACCGTGATAGTCGCAGGCTCGGATCAAACATGCAGCAGAGGAGCCGAAAAGCACACTTTCACTTACATGAAAGACGCCGGTGACGTGGATTGTTGTAGATGTTTATGCGTAGTGCATATGTTGATGGGGAAATGCGTGGTGATGTGATCATATTCACTATGTTCTACCGCCGGTTTCCATGGAGGCGCATGTGGCCTAATACGCCCATGCGATGACTGAATGTGCGAGGGCATTTAAGGCGATGGCTTCTGGCGTATGTAGGTGCTCCAGGTGCTGGTTCAATAGTCCCTGTGTGGTGGATTCGCAAGTGACCGACCAGGCCGATGAGTGAGGTGGACGTGCAGCGACAGTAAGTGCATGATAAGTTGGGAGGTGTTCGGTCAGTTGTTGTTGTGATGCTTCTAGTAGGGGGCGCGCTGGTCGATGGGGCGTTGATTGGGTTCGATATCGGACGGTTGATATGCAAGCTGCGTTAGGTGTGTCAATACTGCGGCGAATTCCTCGGTTGTGGATAAGCATGTGACCGGATAGGCTCATGTGGTGTATGAATGTATGTGGACAGTGAAGACGGATGCAACAAATGCTTTTGGAGGCTCCCGGGACCGGTGCGCCGGTCGTAGTGCGATGGATTCACAAGCGACCAAACAGGCTGATGGGTGAGGCGCATGTGTGATCACAATGGAGACAGGTTAGGACCGGGTCCATGTGGCTGGAAATGGGGATGGTAATGGTGAGGGTGGTGGTTGGCGGACAGTCGAGAGTTTTGCTCGGTGGTGGGGGTGGGAGCTATGGTGGTCACCGCATGGGGTTGTGACAAGGATGATGAAGATGGTGGTGACGGACAGCTACTAAGCACGAGGAGATTGAACATCGGTGACGAAGGCGGTCGTCGTAGTGGACGCCATGAGGGTCGGAGCAGGGGCGATAGGAGTGGCAGCGGTTGGGTTTGCCGGGCTGATGGACTGAGTCCGGAAATATCCAACGAGGCCGATCCGTGCGCGGAGTGTTTGTTGACAGCGTATACATGTTGGGAGAGGTTGGGAGTTGGCGTTGTGGGTCAGGGGCGCCTGAGACTTACGAGCTTCCCTTTTGGCTTTGGTAGCAGCGAGCTGGTTCGCTCCATAGATTGCTGCACCAGGCCTCACTGCCTTTGTTCGGACCGGTCGGTTCTGTGCGAGGCCGTCCTAAGTCTTTGGGTTAATCCGTAGCCGTTTCAAGGAATTCTCCAGGGTGTCCCTGTGCCGATGGGTTTGACCTCCGTGGCGACGAGCGCCCATGATGAAATGTCCGTAGAAGAGTTGTTTTGTGATGCGCTCCTCCATCCCAACGAGCTGGTCACTCTGTCGTATTTGCTGTTGCCTCAGCAGGACGTGAACGCTGAGGATTCTAGTCCGTTCCGAAACATCTGTGTCCGAGATCCTATCCTGCGACCGCAGCTTTAATATCCACTGGCGACAACTGAAAGGGTTGTGATTGAGTTCCTGTGCCTGTTTTTTGTAGACTTTTCAGGTCTTCGTGTCATACAGCCGCTTCATCAAGATGACCGCTTTGTACATCTTGAGTTTGGTGTTCAGGCGCAGGCCGTGACGACTATAGGGAGTTCTGTAACCAGCCGAAGCCTTGACTGGCTTTATAGATCCAGTGAGCCACTTCGTCGTCGATTTCGATGCAGCGTGAGAGTGTGCTACTCAAGTAGGCGAAGTTGTCCATGGTCTTCAGGTGGGTATCGTTGATGTGGATGCGACGAAGACTGTATACAGCGTTGGGTGGAGACTGGTGCCTGATCACTGTTCTGCCCGTGTTGATAACCAGCCCGAAGTTGACACATCCAGAGGTAAAGAGTTCCATGCCCCGTTGCATGCCAGCTTCTGTCATGGTGTTGAGTGCGCAGTCGTTAGCAAAGAGCAGATCGTGGATAGTAATCATAGAGGGACGCGTTGAGGTCTGCATGCGCGGGCTGCTGAGAAGATGGCCCTCAGTCCTGTAGGTGACGCGGATCTTGGGGCGCTCATTACGGTAGGCGTCCATCACCACGACAGGAAAGATGGAGCTGAAGAGGGTAGCACGATGAAGAGCGATCAATAGCCGGCAGTCAGCATGGAACACGATCGTTTTCGGCTGATAGTCCGTCAATAAGCAACCGGTAATAATGTGAACCATGTGCCGCCATGCCTGCACAGGAGCTCGCCTGTTTGAATCTACATTTTTAAATGCTGCATCGCCGATCTCTCATTGTGACAACTGACCTCCCTCAGACTCTCCTATGGAATATCGAGCTGTTTTTTGATTTCGGCGTTTGGAGTAGATTTTATCCACAGTAATTCACAAACAAATACACGAATAATTAGAGAACGGGCCGCACCTAACCCCAAGGATGTTAAGGATTACAACAGCCAAGGATGGCGTTGTAGCTAAAAAAAAAAAAAGTACTTTAACAAAACTGGGCTCTCAGACAACCTAATTAAAGTGCGAGCTTGGCACCGACTGTATCCCCAAGCCGGATGCCGACTTTACGCTGACCAAGAGTGTCTCATAAAACTTCCACTGCAGCGCCCCTCTTCAGTTCAGTTTATTTAAGGGAGATTTAGGTGTTACGCTTTTGAGCTCCCCATTTGTTACAAGCAACGGAAACATTAAACAGGTACATAAGAACTATCGAAACTACAGATAAGCGAATTATTCAATGTTCAAAACTGGAGCTACTAAATGCGCTGTACAGTACTCTGCCTCACACATGGAAGCGAATATGTGGGTCCCAGGTTCCTGCTGCAAAGAAGATGAACGCGCGATTACTGGGATAGTAGAGGTTTTAGTTTGATCCTTCGGTCTCGTACAGAAGGCCATCATCAGAGACTGTGAGAATGCGGCGTCAAATGAATATCGGGAAGGATGTCGTTAAGCAGTTCTTAAAAGTCTGCTAGTCTGCTCCTTCCAATTATAACGGACGTGTCGTCTACGTACTGGCGCTAAGACGCAGGTTCGTAGTGCTTGAAGACGACTTTTCCAGCTCCTGTACGACCATTTTCACAGCCAGGCAGGATATTGGCAAACCTATCGGCGTTCCTTTAATTTGCTTGTGTGTTCTGCCATTGAAGATGAGAAAGGTTTGTTGGTTTAAGGCAAAGAGTTGCAGTAAATGGTTGACATTCAGTTCACAGGGGAACAAGAACATACCGAATAGTTGCCTTTTCTTGACTCCCTCGTCACAAGCTGACCTAATGGAGAATTCAGCACCGCGATGTATAGAAAGACAACTAACACGACTCAGGTTCCCAACTACCATAACAACCAACCGATGGTGCATAAATGCGGCTTTGCTAGGACACTCTTCCAAAGGGGAAAACGCATTTCAGTGAGCCGGAGGGACGAGTACGAGAACTACAACATCATCAGGACCAACTGGCAAGGAATGGATACCCAGCCAGCTTCGTCAACCGCTGCCTCCGTACGCTCCAGCATGGAACAAACGGAGGAGAGCCACCAACACTCTGGCACCCTCTACCGTATATAAAGAACGTGTCAGAAGCCACGGAACGTATCGCTGCAGATCTCGGCGTGTGTATCGCTCATCGACGGCCACGATATACACCAAAATCATACAAATGAAGGACCGAATAGACGCAGGAGCACAATCTGGTGTCGTTTATCAGATCCCATGCCGTGACTGTCCTCGCCATTATACTGGACAGACAGGACGATGGCTTAGCTCGCGAATAACGGAGCACAAACGCGCAGTCCAGAGAGGCGACCCGCTGTCTCAGGTCGCTGCTCACACTCTAGAGGATAGCCACGAATTCAACTTCGCGGGCACGCGAATAATGGCGCGAACCAGCAATAAGCCAGGGCGAGAACTGCTGAAGGCCTGGATGTTTGATACCACCTCCGTTCTCGCGGCCAAGAGGGGCGACCTAGTTCCCAGCCAAGGGTGGCCGTGAGACGGCGTTGAATCAGCCTTACCATGAGCGACATCCCCTCCACTCCGACTCCCCTTCCATGTTTGACTGCAAAACTGCCCATTTGACACCGCACTCTCAGTGTATGATAATAGCCTCCTGTACGAGACCGAAGACTCAGACCAATACATGTACAGTGATCGCGCGTTCGTCTTCTTGTCAGTAGTCTGTCTGTACATAATTGTGCTAGAGAGAACGTCGTACGGTCTCAACAGACACCAAAGTGAATGCCATTAAGTGCGTGTAAGTGTTTAGAGCAAGAATAAACTTCAGAAGTAGACGTTACTGACATTTAGACAGCAATATTATGGCGGTAATTGGTTGTCAGCTCAAAACGTCAGGACGATACTGTCCGGGTGGCATTATGATGCGCAGTGGTACACTGATCCAGCTTACTCTTAAAAACCTCAACGAATGTGCGCACAACGACTTCTGCAGACAGATCATTCCAAGCTTCAATCGCTCTGTTGAAGATCAAGAACTTCAATGTGTCTAGTCTGGCACTAGTCACACGTAGTTTGAGTGGACGGCCTCGCGGGTTCGTTGGGGTTGCTTGCTCGAAGAAGTCTTATCTTGCTTAATTTTCGAGGAAATTGATGCGCGAATTTGGAATAAACCTTTCGGGACAGACCTTTTCAGGCACTGTCCGAAATTCGATATAATTATTTGAGCTGAAACCATCAGCTCCTGTGGAATAACCGCGTAGTATTCACAATGCGCCAACAAGCAACCGGTAATATAAAACAGTGTAATTATTTACCATACTGACAACACAGGTACTAGCTAAAAGCACTTAGCTAGCACCTGTGCTGTCAGTATGGTACAAAACTGCACAATTCAAGGAATTCAGTAGGTACAGGACAGCAGTCCTGATCGCGCATGGTGCGGAATGTTTATATTAGGTCGCCTTTTAGTTGTCTTAAGCTCAGAGGAAGGAGGTCGAGATTAGATAATTGTAATGAGATAGTACCAACAAAGACAAGGGAGACCGGAATGGCCATTTCTGGCTTATTAGCCGTCATCAGTCAGTCTACTAATAGTCGCTGTGCTACTGCCTGCGAGGATTCTAATATGAACTCCAAGGCACAATGGGACGAGCATGTTCCGTAACCTGACCGGCAAGCGCCCATCTGTCATAATTGATATTCCCGACCACAACCGACAGGACAACGGGCCCGTGGCTCAGTGGTAGAGCCTCAAACTGCATGACCAAAGATCCCGGGTTCGAATCTCAAGTGATCCACACTTGGGGTTGGGTATGACTGGCTGATGACGGCTAATAAGCCAGAAATGGCCATTCCGGTCTCCCTTGTCTTTGTCGGTATCACCTTATCAACATACATCCCTAGTCGCTGTGCGACTGCCTGTGAGGATTTAAGTATGAGCCCCAAGGCACAACGGAACGAGCATGTTCGTTAACCCTGATCGGTGGGCGCCCATCTGTCATAATAAGATAATCGTGTTTTGTAGGGTAGTGAGCACTGCTCACTAGCGAGTTTAGTTGCACGCCTTTGAAGCTTTTTTGGGTGGTCAAGGTTTTTATCGGTCCAGGGTTTCTCCGCTTGAATAGCGAGCTCCAACTGTGACCGCACAAACTTTCATAAGACTTTAGCGAAGCAGTATTCATCGAATGCAAAGAAAGCCTGCTAGACAAAGAACAGGGCGGATATCGTGGACTTGGCTACCTTTGGGCAGCTCAGCGATGGTCTAAGCGAGGTTATGGTCCACACACCGGCGTCCTTCTGAGCGGCTACTTTCTGTAATGGTATGCCATTGAAGTAATAAACCACGTGTTTCGGAGATTGGGTTCCGCCGACACGCAGAATGTTGCATTTAGGCGCACTAAATGGCAAAAGTCAGTCCTGCGACAATTCCTCCAGTCGGTTCAGGTTTGCCTGCAAATGCTCTTCGTTGAATTCAGTTTGGATGATGCCACAAAGCTTGACATTAACATGGCGACATCCCAATGCAGTTGATTGCTCAGTCGTTGGCGCATATAATAAACAGGGTAGGACGAAGAACGGAGCCACGAGGAACACCGTTTTCAACCCCTGTCTCCGCCGACTGCCTGCCACCGACATGGGTAGCTTGAGAGCGGCCGATGAAGAAGCTTCGAATCTACCTCAGGAGATTACCCTTAATGCCCGTTCGGCCGAGTTTATGCAGGTGTCGCTGGTGTGGTGCACTGTCGGACGACCTGTCTCAGTGCTGCCACAGAGGAATGATTAGAGGAAGGAAGAAGACGGGCCGAGGACATCAAAAAGGTCGTCTGATCAAAAAGCGCGCTTGCCGGGTGCTGACCACATGCGCAAACTAAACCTCAGACCGGATACTGGCTTTCTGCCGGACCAAGACGAGACCTAACCGAACATGGCAAAGGTGTCTTATAACACTTCAGTTTCGGCACCCAGTCCCATCGTCGGACGACTTGTCTCAGTATTACTATTGTCATGCGGTAGGTGAGATTGGGGCGGAGCCTGCACGACCCTTCCTCACAATAGTCCAAGTGACATTTATTTGATTTGCTACGACCTCAAAATTCGTGCCTGAAAAGGTTGCTGACCCTTAATATAACTCGCTTCTCAGAAATGATGGTCAAGTTTTAATAGTTTCCTCTTACTCTGACCTTACGATAACCCTCACCGATGTGCCACCCGAGTGATCGAAATCTACTGCGAGATTTGAGGGATTAGCACATGTGGGAAACATGACGAGGACTTTATGACTGACCAGGTCATATGTTCAAATTCATCTCCAGCCGTATTGTTCCTGTTTTTACACTAGGATAAGCTGTTTGTGAGAAGCAATAGTGAGGTCAGCATTGCCCAGGTTCCTTTGACTACAGTCCACTTCACGCACCATAGATGAAATAGAGCGACTAAGTGTAAACCAATGCCACTTCCTGAGTACAATGCAGTCTATTGGTGCTTAAAAAGCATATGTAGGCGGCCGCCATGTAGTTATGACCAAGTGTCTGTGCGCCTTATCCTTGCCACCCGAAGTCATTACTCTGGGACCGCTGAAATATCATCCTGCAGCATGCGCGGCGGCCTCCAGCCTTTCGTTTGTTACTGCCATGTTGCGACTTAACAACACCCCACGCTAAAGTGGAGGCGCCGTTCCCAGATAAGACTACATTCTACAAACGCTGCAAGGCCGATGTTGTTGCTCCAGCCGTTCTGTTGACCCATCTAAAGGCATGCAACACTATGTGCAGAGTCCTCACCAATCAGGCAGTCAGGATACTTCGGCCTCAGCCTCGCGCTGAATTGCCGGCAGAAATTCAGACCAAAGGTACCTTCATTTTCCAGTTGTGCAGATTGTGGCCCGTCTTCTCGCTGAACGTTGCGCTACATCCTGGTCAATTGCCCACCCCTGTGGCCTAATGTATATAGTGCGGCATATCTCCCATGCCCTGGGTACGCGAGACCTTCGGATAGTACATACCTTGCAACTGCTCCTCTCATCTGGACCAATTCCCGCAATTTTTGGATGGGCCCAGTCCCGGTAACCTGTTATACGGCTGTCGCGACCTCATATTGATCGCGGTCTTTACGCAGAAGAGGATTTGTCGGTTGTTGTCAGAATCCCGTATCTCGTCGATCACCCATAAATGCGGTATCCCGTAGTAAAATCCTCATGACTGTGGCGAATCGAGACCCTGGTGATTTTGCCCGCTGGTGGATAGCCTGTCCTTTAGACAGCCCACCTGCCCCTCCCAGTCTAACCCTGCCCTTAGCACCTGGTTCCCCATGGGGCCTGGTAACGATAAGCTTGGTCCGAAATACCCGCTAAGAGAAAGCCCCGCATTCTTAGCTGAGTCTGTGAGCGAGAACAACTGATGCAGCTCAGCGGACTGCCACCTGGAGGTGGGAAACCACATGCTAGACCCATCAGCAAACTGGGGTAGCACGTCACTCGTCCTCCCGCTTCGTCAAGATATCTGCAGGACTGGAGCGCAGATTGACGGCGAGGACGGACCTCGCGGCCGACGCAAGTCGAAGAGCCTAGCACAGCCGACAGTCCTAACTGCGTTAGCAACCACACAGCGGGGTGAGTCAGGTGCTCAAGCGGTTAATCATTGTCATCAGAAATGATACTTTGAGCGGCAATACGAAAGCAGCGCTAAGGTCTGACACGGAACTGCCACCAGGGACCACTGCCACACGCGTACGGGCTGTCGCAACTTACGAACATCGAGCTTCGACCTGTGGTTGAAAGGATTGGAGAGCCTAATCCAGACATCCGGTCGCGACGTTCGGGCCTGCCCGCCTGGATCAGGAATAGCTCGCCACGGGCACCAAACAGGACAAGGACGACCTATTCAGTCTGCCCTCTCTTGTGTTCGACCTGCAGCGGCTGTGGCCGCCCAAAACGACGCGCCCGCCATGAAGCATGTGTTATGCCAGGGGCGGTGCGCGGCACTACCCCACGCGACGCCCCCAGCAGACGTCACCTTATCTCGGGGCTCGCGGCCTGCGTCAGTGTTGGGTCTCCCGAGGGCTCAAACCTCCGCCCCTCTTCACCCGAGGCACACGGCCATCTTTTTGGCGACCTTCAGTCCTTTGTGTTGCTTGCACGCTGCACCTTGCGCTGGGCTCTAGACACCGTTCCCAAACAAGACAAGATTCTTCAAGTGCTGGCCTAACTAATCCTGAGAAGGCGGACCGAGTGCGTTATGGGGCGTCCTACAGTAATTACGGCCCAAAAAGCTTCCCTCGGAAAGCAAACTGAGAAGCTACCCGTGAGAGGGGCCAAAGCCGGACAAGGCTAGCGACGTGCTATCTGACCGAGATGATCTGAACCAACTGTACTGACCTTTGCGATCATCTTCACCAGCGTCACAGACCCCTTGCGTCGCGCAACGATGCGAATTATACAAGACCAGTGAGTCGAGTCAATGGAGAGGAACGTATTTGTTCGAAGGACAATGACTCCAGGTAAATGTATTGTTAGAAAGCCACAAAATTCAATTAACGGTCGCCAGCGGCGGCAAAGAAAGCTTTCGATCCATCAGTTGTCGGTTTGATTGTTTTCGTGCCTGGACGCCAGTTAGCTGGACAGACCTCGCCATGTTCGTCGGTAAACTGGAAAGCCTCGAGCAATCTCAAGGTTTCGTCAACTGAACGACCAACCGGGAGATCGTTGATGGTGATCTGCCTCAGGATTCCTTTGCCGTCAATTATAAAGAGGCCCCTGTTATAAATGAGTGAAATAAAAGGAAATCTCACCTAAAGGCGACTCCTGATGACTCGCAGAGGACACCGTAGCTCCTCGAGATAGACATTGTCTTGTCGGCGAGGATGGGAATGTTCATGCCTTCGATACCACCCTCTTTGCGACTGGTTTTAGTCCAAGCCAAGTGGCTGAAGTGGGAGTCGGTGGAGCAAGCGATCAGTTCGCAACCCTTCCTCCTGAATTCATCAGCACGATCGCTGAACGCGATTATCTCCGTGGGGCAGACGAAGGTGCTTAGAGAAAACAATAGTTCGAATCAGCGGATAAAGATCAATCGTAGCATGTGCCATGCAGCAGGACAGGGAATTAACACACGGTTAGAAGTGCCATAGAGCATGAAGTACTTAGCCTCCTGTCCTAGCTAGCATCGAACAGTTTCACGAAAGCACATTTCTAGTATCCTATGGACGTTTGTGCGACGGACGTGGCAGGTTGCGGAAGATAGGCACCAAAGCAAGCTGCATGAACTTTCGGAGGACACAGACTGTAACAAGCATCAAACATTCCCATAAGAACTTTTGTGCTGACTAATGCAATTCGCGGGAACCAGCGGTCGTGGAGGAAAAAAAGGATGACAATGGTTGCGTGTAAAACTATGTAGAAACGGAATACTTACAAATCCAGTGGGTAGAAGAATAAGATGACGTATTTCTTCTTGTAGTCAGATAGCGAAATCTCCTTGAATTCACCATTTACAACAGCCGTGCCCTTGAACTCCGGTGCGGGCATTCCAGGTTGGAGCATGGCGTTAGCGACGCGAGAGAAGCAGCAGGAAGAACACACGACAGCCCAAGGCATACTGAACCTTGTTATATAGACAATGTGGTCGAGTTAGACGATTGGTTAATTGGGTCACAGATCTGGGGCCTCCTATTGGTCATCAGGCCATTTCTTAACCGCCTTCGCGCAGCGACCTCCACGCACGCCACTGCGTTTGCGCCATGTGGTAGCTTGTTGCTCTCACGACGGACCTTACTGGTTGTCTGTGTCATGGCGGCAGCCGTTAACGCCTGACGCCGTTAGCCTGACTTGTGGTCGGTTGGCGACGGCAATGGCCCCTACGCCACTAGGTTTGAAGACCGTTTACCCGGCCATTATCACTGTAAACGCTGGGACGGCTCGTATGGCAATTTTGTAGCAGCGAGATTTGAACTTTTATTCGTATTCGACATCAATTCACTTATCACAAAACTTCATGGGCACTTTTTTCAGCAGAGGCAAATTATCCTTTATGAGAATATTTGCTAGAGCGTGCTTGTCGACTAACACCAATCCCACCATCGCCACTGCTGTTTTGACGCTCTTCGCAGTTACCTGATATGAGTACGAATTGTGCATTAGGGTAGTTTTTTGTCGTCTACGAACTTCAGCGATCCCGTCACATTCGGTCCCGGCACGCATGGGCCTCTTAGTCACTCTGACCTGAGTCTGACCCGCATATTAGCCTACAGTTCGTCCTCTAAGGGTCTAGATGGAAGGGTGAACATTGTAACGATCCTAGCAAACCCTCCATAGCGACAGATAGACTTATAACGTAAACTGCAAGATGGGTGCAAGGGGAGTTTTGTTGAGTATGCAGTCGCACTCCACTCTGGACGCAGTTTCTGCTTTGAAGCAGAATTATAAGCCCTTCGACTGGCTAACGGCCTTCTCATGACTATAACGTACTTAGGAATTCTAAATCCATTTTGTTGACAGCTCCAGAATATTTCTAATCAAGTTGACTGGATCCTTGGGGCCGACTCATGGAACTACGAAGTTCCCAAAAGGCATGAGATTTCTTCGAATACTTATACTTCGCATACAGAACCTTCATATAGTTTTCGAGAAATCTATTGTGGTTCGACGGAAGACTTCGGACTTCTACTACCATAATCCACAAGTAAATGGCTGGCGGATAATATGAGTTGTATGATCTTTGTATAAGCCAATTTCTCCACGGATTTTGCCCTACGTATTTCTTCAAATATAGAAAAGACATACGAACTGCCCGGCACGAGGCCAGACAGAACAGTACTTACTGAATGTCCAGAGCAATCCTCGGAGTGCCATACAGGTGCCGCAGTTCTCTGGCATTCGGTCTTTAAGAAGCCTCATTTGCGCTTGCATCCTCGAAAATCGCTCCAGGTGATGCACACAGATCAGCGTAATTTTCTGATACAGTCGCTTTTGCAACTCAAAACTCACCGGCCCGTGATCCCATAATAGCACAATCTTTAATGTCTTGTACTCTGTACAATGTACTTGGGAATTCGCATATTGCCTAAACACCCACAGTGTTTGCGATTCCCCGACTAGGGTCGTCCGCCTCAGCCAGCTAAATTGTGGGTATGACCTTATCCGTTTTAATGCGTTTTTTGTAGTTGCTATTTGTATTTACGTCACTTTAGAGGCATTCCTAGGCGGAATCCATTCTGTCTTGCTTACTAGCAAGCTGCTTTCCATTCTGCCAAACTCTGATCTTCATTTGAGTACGAGAGATTCGCCCAGTGGTGCCTACCGCGTACTTTCTTGGCACGGCTGCGACCAGCCGGCCTCGATGATGTCCCGAACTGTACCTTTCCATGCGTGACGATCCGCGGTAGCAGAACCGGACAATTCAACCCATTTTCTTCGCCAACGACGTAGACCGAATACTGAAGGCCTAAGAACCACCCCCATGTCTTGACGACCTGTGTCGAACCAAGTTTCGAGTTAACCTCCTCTTCGAAGCCTTAAATGGAGTAACGGTGCAGGATCGAGGGCGGTATAGCTGAGGTCCCAAGATGGGCGACGAAGAACATGCCCAAACCACCTCAGTCGTCTTTCTTGGATGGTCTGGGTTATTCTCGCGATGTTGTCGCAGCGAGCGCGAACTGTCATATTTGCGACGAAGTCGGTATACTTTATTCGAAGGATGGTCTTCAGGCAGTGGTGGTCAAACACCTCCAGTTTTCTCTCGTCCTCCACGCGCACAGCCCAGCATTCACAAACATAAAGAAGGACAGACCGGACAGATGCACGGTATACGCGGATCTTGATGGCGATGGGGAGGTCGCGTCAGATCCATAGACATTTTCTAAGGCTTGAGAAAACCCGTCGGGCAGCATCAATTCATGGGACGATGTCGTCCTTACTCTTCCCATTCGGCAGCACACCCACCCCTAGGTATTTAAAGCCGTCTACTTCTTCAAGTTGACAGCCATCAATCCCGAGAGGTGCCTTTTCCTGGTCAAGAATGCAGCCTGAAAACACTTTGGGTCTTCTCATTGTTTATGGATAATCCGACCGATTTAGCGACCTCGCTTACCCGTGGCACCATAGACTGCAGATCACCAAAACTTTATGCAAGTAAGGCAGTATCATCGGCATAGTCGAGATCAGTCAGTCGGTGTCCGAGTGCAAACTAAGCACCGTCGCCTTCATGTAGAGCCCCCCCCTCCCCCCCCCCGAGAATCCAGTCAATAGCGTAGTTGAACAGAATGGAGAACAGGATACAACCCTGTCGAACGCCAGACCGAATAACACACGGTTGGGGAAGATTGTTGCGGATAAGGACTCGTGCGGTAGCGGAGCGATAATAGGCCTTGATGATGGCGGTGATTTTTGGCGGTACACCACCTAGTACCATTATCCGCCACATGGACTCATGATAGATGGAATAGAACGCGGCGGTAAAGTCAGCAAAGCAGACGGCCGTTGGTTGCTGGTAGCTATGGCGGAATTCGAGAATGCGCCTCAGTTTGAGTACTTGATCCACACACCCACGTTCAGCACGAAATCCGGACTTAGTTGGGCCTCGTCATAGAATCACGCACAGGCTAGAATCTCCTGAGGAGGACAATAGCGAAGATATTCGCAGCAATGTTGTTGAGGCTTATGGCGCGGTAGTTCTCGCATCTTGTCTTATCTCCCTTCTTGAGGATAGGTACAAGGATGCCTAAGCCTCAGTGATCAGGAACAACCTCGTTTCTCCACGCATATTCAATTACGTTATGGAGCGAGGGCGCCAGAGTGTCGACACAAGACCTGTAGATTCCAGTGGGTATACCGTCCTCTCTGGGTGCCTTGTTGTTGCGTAGCTTTCGTACGGCATCGGCGACCTCACCTTCAGAAGAGGGGTCTCATGGCACTGCATAAGTTGAAGAGGGAAGGAACTCTGCTGCAGAGGAAAGCAAGAGCGGGGTGGATTAGGTATCGAAGTTGAGATGGTGCTCGAAGTGCTCACGCCAGCGTTCGGCTTTGGCCGAGTTGTCAGCAATAAAGCCGCCATTCACGTCGCGAGCAGAGTCACTCAGTGTAGAGGGTTGACTACTGACTTGGCGGATGAGTTGGTAGAGTTTTTGAGTATCACCAACGTTCGAGGCCGGTTCCATGGAGGTCGCTATTTCAGCCCAATATTGCCTCCGGTTAGCCCTGGCGTACTTTGCCGTCGGCTTTCGAAGTTTGCGGAAGGAATCATCATTACGGGAGCTGGCTCGAGTCGTCTGGGCAGACAACTGCAGGGTTCTTCCGCTGAACCAGTCACTGCGGCGTCGTTGGGTATATCCAAGGATTTTCTCAGCTGCCCCATAGACTGACGTTTTCAGTGACGACCACTGGTTACTGCCTTCTCCGTCGGCTCGGGTCGTAAAACAGGACCGGATTTCTCTGCTCAGGGTCTCGACAATACCGGTTTGCCGGATTTTTGCGACATCGAGGCGTCTAGGACGTGGCATTTGTAGCGCGGATGAGAGGTGAACTTTCAAGCGTGTACGAACGAGGGCATGGTCCGATCCATGGGCGTTACAGTCTCGACACCACGCATCGATCCGCTGTTGTGAACCGAGCTACGGAACCTTGAGCTAACGGGTATGTAGTCAATCCGACTGACCGTATGATCGTCGTTTGAATACCAGGTCAGCGGATGTTTTTTGCAATACGGGGAACATGTGTTGGTGACAAGCAGTCGGTTGTGATCAGCGAAGTTCAGTAATCTCTCGTCATTTTCAAATCAGGAACCGATCCCAAAGCGGCCAAGAAGATGACTGTTTGTGGGGTGCCAGGTCCAGTTCGACCATTAAAATCGCCAGCAATAACCAAAAGATCGCGGCGAGGCAGTCTTTCAGCTAACGCTTGCAACTGCGAGTATAACGTCTCTTTATCGCGCTGTTCAGCTGTCGAAGTTTATGCTTACACAGAGACGATGGAGCTGTTTGTGATGTGACCCTTCAGTCGTGCGTGGGCCATCCGGTCATTGACTGGTTCCAAGCAAGTAACCCGAAGTCCGCTTGTTGGGAGGGGGCGATAGCCACACCGTGTCTACTAAAAGAGTCGGGCGGGTCGCTGTGGTACAGGGTAAAATGGGATTCGACTCCAGGGATCCTTATTTTTCGAGAGCCTGAGTCAGGAATTCGGACTTCAGACAGACAGCAAACATCCACGTTGTAGTGATTAAGGCTGTGGGCGGTCAGACTTTGGGTCCGGGATCCAGGAACGTTCACATTCCAGCATCCAATACCAAGGGTCCGCCCCCGATTGAGTAGTCCAGTACGCGTACTATTCGCCCGCACTACTTGACCAGGGTTGCGGAGCGCGTCGGTTCCCGCGGACGCCGTAGCAGGGGTCGTAATACTGTAGTGGGGCATATTTCATGAGGTTTCTTGAGAATTTCAGATACAGGCGGGTCTCCAACAGCCGTTCGAATTGTTTATTCGAGGTTGTCTCTCCTAGCGCTTTGGCTTGAAAGCCTAAGCATGAGGCCGCGGTGGCAAGAAAACTTATTTAATGGCGGTTTACGGTCGCCATGTCACAATGCCGTCATCGGGCTTTGCGGCCTTTTTATAAGGCTTTCAGCGTGCCAGACCTCAACCCTCCGCACCCTGGCAGCATTGTCACTGCTGGTCCGCAACTGCTTATTCGTCAGATCTGGGTCTGCTTATTTCGCAGCTGATCTTTACTGAAGGTCGTTCCACTATCCGCCACCTGTGGACGCGCCGGGTAGCCAGCAACTATGCTAGTGGGCAACCCGTCTACCACGTGGTTAGAATCGTAGTTCTGATGCGGAATATTCGGCCGCATAATGCTTATGTAACAACCCTGTTCTCCTTTATGAACTTGGTCAAAGTGTCGTTGGTGGAACACTTGTCTCAAGCCTTACTCGCCTAGTCTGCGTCGATTTAGTTATGCAGCTAGAGTATCCAATCCCGTCTTTTAGCTCACTTGTACATCCTACCACGGCTATTGGCTTCTGGAGGTATGGGCTCATTTTAAAATTAAAGACCTAGTACTCCTGGGACGGTACATGAAGAGACTGTGTATTAGTAATGATAGCAAATCTTACTTGGACTGCGATTGATGGGAAAATCGGCAAATCGGGGGTTCGAACCCGGGCACTCTGGTAAACGAGACGGTGCTCTATCCATTACGCCGCAGAACACTGCAGGCGGCAGTGACTCATTACTAGTTCTGCCGTTCTCCAGCGAGCTTATGCAAAAGTCCCTCCAAAATAGCGGTCGCTCATTGAGAGAGCGTTCTGCGCTAACCGCACTTATTTTCTTAAAACAGTGCTGTACCTACTGTCACAATAGTGTCCATGAAGTGCTGTCCCTGCATGGGGAATTTGAACAAAACCACGACCTGAAGCACCTTTCTGCGCAGAAGGCAAACTCTCCATTGCGTTGCATTTGTTTCAAGTTTTGCCTTGTCAGCGGCTAGGTTCCGGAAATGCAGTCTCCACTTTAATACTTGAGATCGCTACGTAGACTCGCCATCAAGACTCATTGAGATTAAAAATTTTACAAGACTCGACTGAGCATGCGAAATAATTGGAAACTACAGTGTAGACGTTATGTCACCGACGACGATAAGCGCCACTCCTATTATGCTCCTAAACCACTGAAGCGGAAAATTGTCTTTGCTTTAGTGTGCTGTTCCTCTTTGCCCGCGCAGATCGAGATTGATACACGACTGGTTGACATCAGGCGACTGTGCGTCCGTCTCCGATAGTGCCGCCTACATCTTCCACCGGCACCTACTCTTTCTGATAGTAGAAAAGGGCCAATAAGTTGACAGTCTGGGGCACGTTATGGTTCGATGATAAACTTCGATCGGTTGAGTGGGTGGATTTAGTAGGGGTGAAAGACATACCACTTTGTTTTTGTTTCACGACTAACGTTACGCAATGACGACTGATTCGTCGAGAGATTGGTGCTTCAAATTAAACTAAAAGAGATTTGGTTGTGGACTCAGCGTCAGTGTTTTGGGGGATATACTGATATGTGGAGCATAAAAGGTAGGGTATTGTGTGCCCAACGCTTAAGAAAATGCTTGAAAGAGAAAAAATTCTACTGAATAAGGAAGAGACGCACCAACTTGACCTCAAACAGTGAGAAAGCGCAACAAGCTCTAGTTAAAACTGGGTACCAGTTAATTTTAACTATCATCAAAATAAGCATACAGCATCTGGGCAAACCTTGCGGTCGGTGGCGAATGAGGGAATCAGCCTATTCATCAGATTGGGCACAGCTTTTTGAATGTAAAACAAATCCACCTGGTGAAACTATCAGATGAATCGTTATACACGAACTGTTTATGTCTACGCCAAAATATGTTGTCTTGCCGTCTTGCAAAGTCAGTGGTAGTCCCTTAGCGTAAGTGATCCTTTCAAGAAAGTTTTTCGCAATATACTGCTCCTCCCCCTGACGAAAAACAAATGTGTCATTCATTTGCGTTTTCGTCAATTATAAGGTCCCAACGCCTAGGTAGTCCTTCGAATGCGGAAAATTGTTCGTAATCACAAGCATCTCCCCATCCGTGGTTAGATCTCCCAATCTGTGGATGGTTTTGTAAATTTTTTCCTGGATTTTCATGGAAAATTTTTAATCTTACGCACACAGACAAGGTAGTTTGGTACAAGACCACAAGACGCATATAGCTGCTTCAGTTATTGGTTGCTAATGCCCTACATCAAGCCGTCTACCTGTGCCTTCTTTTCACTAAACTAAACCATCTGTGTAGAGATACTGGTTACTATCAGTTGAGATTACACTCACTAGCTGAGAAGGGATTAGGAAAGACCGACCAAGAATCGGGGTTGCACTCTGTCCGAATCGTCGAACGTATGTCCTTGTCCTTTCTGTGTCTCGCCTTCTTGACCTAACGGGGATGATTCATCTCTTAATTCATTCTTGCTCCTTTACATGTATGTTTTTGGTGAGAACTTTCCGACTAGATTTCTGCTCCTAGAGTTTCACTTCGTCCTTTTTTTCGGAACTAACTGGTTCCCATCCGTGGCCCTGCTGTCTTCAATTGCCCTCCTCTCCCGCCGCAAGCCTTTGACACTCGCAAGAATTGTTCTCCGACAGTTCGACCGTCGTTGCCGACGATGTCCACCGTGTGCTCCACAAGAAGGTGAAGCAGGCTCGGTGACTTGCACGTGATTTAATTTGTAGTGAGTGTAGACTTGCGGTGCATCTACAGCATCCTGCCCTCCTCCGTCTGGATCCGCGGTCAAGACAGTCAAGAAGACCGGCGGCGGCAAAGGGTGCAGGTGGATGGCACGGTCGGGCTCGCACCTTCGCCCTCCATTCCACACCCCCTGGTCCTTACAGCAAATGACCAGGATTTTTACCAACAACACGTAGGCGTCCCGTCACACCTGGATCGGATCCCACGGAGTGGGAGTGCCGTAGAGGCCACATTAGGAAGGAGCAATGGCAGCCTAACTCTTAGATCACCAGTCGGCCGCTCCACACAAGCACATAACACTGGGCCGACTGCGAGGTCCAAGTTATCGCTTCATTTGGCAATTTTCCAAGCCACAGCTTTTAGCGCACCGTGATAGCTTCAATCGCGTCAGACTGTTTATAGTGAGGAATATGCGCCGAGTCGTCGACCTCACTTCCCTTCCCATTCCCGTGCCCACTCACTGTCCGGGCTGGTCACTTGACTGGAGCGGGGAATGGGCGCAGTGGCTGACATATCTAGTGACCTTGTCTGCGCGCGCCGCATGCACGACCTGGCCCCCCAAACACAAGCACCAGGATTTCACACAACGGAGGTTGAGAGACATACATCTCACGTGCGTGAGAGTGCTGTAGGTCACGTTAAGAAGAGGCCGTTTCAGCCTGTCTCCCAGCCTACCAGCCCGCCACTCTACACCAACACAGAACTAGGCAGAATACGTGGAATGAGTTGGGACGTCAGTTAGCAGACTTCCAAGCCACGGCGCTTGACGCACCGTGATAGTGTCAGACTCGGATCACACATACAGCGAAGAAGCAGCATGAAGATGGAGCCGAGATGCACACTTCCCACTTGCGTGGGAGGTGGCAGTTGGATTCTTATGGTGGATTATGATGTTGTGTAATGTAAGTGGGGCGAGATGTGGTGGTGTGGTGTAGCCGTCGGTTGTCTATCGCGGGTTTTCGCGAATGCGCGTGGCCTACTGCGGCTCATGCGGCGGGTGAATGTGCGGGTGCAGTGAGGGCAGTTGAGGTGGGTGTGTCGGGTGTATGCTGGTGCTCCAAGCACTGGTTGGCCAGTCCCTGTGCGATGGATTCGCAAGTGATCGACCAGGCTGATGTGCGAAGTGAATGTGCGGGACAATGTGGGCAGTAAATGTCGGCAACGGCGATGGAGCTGCTGGCGGTGCGCGGCAGTGTGTGGGTTGGGCTAGGCGTGGTGGATGCGCAGGAGGCGCTACGTGTTTGGAGACTGCCGTTAATTCCGCTCTCGTGGATGCGCACATGCCCTAGAAGGCCCATGCATTGAGCGAATATGCTGGGGCAGTATGAACTGTAGAGGCGGATGCAGCGAATGTATGTGGGTGCTCCAGGCACTGCTTCGCCAGTCTCTGTGCGATAGATTCGTAAGTGACCGGCCGGGCCGATGCGTGAGATGAAGGTGCGGTCGCAGTGAGAACAGGTATGGACCGAGTCCACATTGCTGGTGTTGGCGGTGACGAGGTGAGTGTTTGTCGGTATGTTAGGATTGAGTACGGTGGTGGTGGGTACAGGAGCCGTCACAACGGATGTTGAGGCGCTGGAGGAGGAAGGCAGTGGGGGTTCAGGAGTGCGGCCAGTGTTGATTGTCGGCGTGGGGAGCGATGCAAAGGTGGACGGGGGGACATCGGGTGACATCGTCCGGATGCTGCAGTTACGGCGAAGATGTCCAATGAAACCGATTAGTGCCCGGAACGTCCGCTGGCATCGTGGGCATGTCTGGTGCGGTTGATTGTTGACGTTGCGAGGCGGGGGCAGTTGAGATGTTCAAACTTCGCGTTTGGCTTCAGCGGCGGGGATGCGGTTAGCTTCGTAGACCGCTGCGCCCGTCTTCACTGCTCTTTGTCAGGTCGTTCGGTCCCCGGGGGGTCTTCCCAGTTAGCCGGGTCGATGTGCAGGCGCCTCAGGGAAGTCTTAAGAGTGTCCTCGTAGCTCCGGACTTGACCTTCTTGTCGGCGGGAAGCCATGACGACATCTCCATAGAAGTCGTTTGGGTAGCCGCTCGTCGCCCACCCGCACTAGGTTGGTGCTCTAACGTAGTTGCAATTGTCCCAACATGGCGTAGATGCTGAGGATTCCCGTCCGTTCCAGTACATCCATGTCGGGAATCCGGTCCTACCACCTCAGCTTCAACATCCGTCGAAAACAGCTGACATGAAAGTGGTTGAGTCTTCGCGCTTGCTTCTTGTACACCATCCAGGTCTCCGCTCCACACAGCGGCGTCGGCAGGATGACAGTTTTGTAATCTTCAGTTTGGTGTTGAGGTGGAGACTTTGGTGACTCCAGACTGTGTTTTGCAAACGACCGAAGGCTTGGCTGAACCTGGAAATCCGACAGGCCGCTTCATCGCCGATCTTGGTGTTGCAAGAGAGGATGCTGCTCAGGCAGTTTGATACCGTTCACGCTTACTTGGGGTGCGATTTAGGCAGCGTCGGGTTTGCGGTTGATGCATAACCACTGTCTTCTCCGTGTTGGTGACCAGACCGAAGTTGTCGCAGGTGGCGGCGAAGAAGATTCATGCTCCTTTGTATGTCCCCTTCAGAAGTGGCGTGGAGAACGCAGTCATCGGCGAAGAGCAGTTAATAGACGGGAGTTGTTGATACACACGGCTGGAAGTGAACCCATTGCTGATTGAGGAGGTGACCGTCCGTCCTGTAGGCGACGCGGATCCTGAGGCGTTCGTCGCTGTAGGCGTCTTTCAGCGTGGCAGAGAACATGAGACTGAAGAGGGTAGGCGTGAGGACGCAACCCTGCTTCACTCAGTTGGTCACTGCGAATTCCCCGGGACAGCTCCATTATCTGACTCGCGCCATCATGTCCTCGTGGAGCTGACGCACTATCTGAGTGGATCACTCGGGACAACCAAATTTCTGCATGGTTTTCCACAGTCCTTCGCGATTCACCGTGTCGAAGGCCTTCGTCAAATCCACGAAGGTAGAGTAGAGATGGATCTGCATCTGCTGACAATTCTCCTGCAGTTTGCGGGTGGCGAAAATCCTGTCTGTGGCTTTGCGGTGACGGCGGAAGCCGTACTAGCTTTCCGGCAGGAAACCCTATTCCAGATGGTTGTTCAGACGGTGGAGAAGAATGCGAGCGGAGATCTTCTCGGCGATGTACGACAAGGCGGTCCCTCGGTGGTTGTCGCAGATTTGGGGGTTACATTTTCGCCCGTACAGATGGACGATTGTGGCGTCCTTGACGTCCTTAGGAACTTCTCCTGGAAGAGCGCCGTCAGGTGTTCCATAAGTTGGGGGCCACTGTGCTTGAAGGTTTCAACATGGCTCGCCTCTGATCCGGGCGCTTTTCCGCTGGAGAGCCGCTTCACGGCCTTGATGGTTTCGTGTAGAGAGAGCGAGAGGTCGGGGTCAACGTTGGACGGGCGATGGCGGCGTCGGAGATGGTGGAGGGCGGTTGAGGACGCCTCTGAAGTGCTCGCTGAAGAATTTGTATCTTCTCGATGAGTAGGTTACTGCCGTCGACGCGAAGAAGAAGAGCAGTTGCTTTGGTTGGCGGACCGCAGACAGCCTTGATCGCGGAGGAATTTCTTCATCCGTTGCGACCCGCATAACCTTGGATCTCCTCAGCCTTATTAGCCGTCCAAGTGTCGTGCGGCTCCCGCAACTGCTGTTCCACAAGGCGGCGACTACGGTAAAAGGTTGTTTTGTTGTCGTCACTGGAGCAATTGGCGTAGGCTTTGTGCAATCGGTTCGTCTCGGCGAGTAGATTGCAAATGGTGGCGTCATTGTCGTCGAACCAGTTCTGACGTTGAGATTGTGCGTGACCGAAGACAGACAGGGCCGTAGACTGGACTGTGTCCCGCAATTGACACCATCGGTTCTCCACAGAGGCATTCCCGTCAGCAGCGGCGGCGGCGACTGGAATACTGGTTAGCCGTTGAGTTAGCTCATTGCTTAAATGGACACGGTGAACAGGCAAAGGCAACAAAGCAATACTCAGCCCACCCGGGGATCGCTTACCTTGAGGTCTCCTGCGAGGTTGTAGGCGAATTCACATCTTGTAGATGACGAGACGAGGATCGGTCCACCCCTCGGCACCCGGGATCGCCTTTATCACCAGCAGGTCCCGCTGGTCTCGCTTCCGGACGAGGAAGTAGTCCAGCAGGTGCCATCGTCGCGACCGAGGGTGCATCCAGGTGACCTACTCTCGCATCGGGAGGCGGAAGTAGGTGTTGGTCAGGATGAGCCGGTGTTCTGTACAGGTTCGTAGGAGGAGCAGACCACTGCCATTGGAGCTGTTGAGACCATGGGGACCCAGAACTCCCCTCCGGGCAGCATGGGCTGTGCCGACGCGGGCGTTGAAGTCACCGGGGCCAATCAACTTGTCCACCTTCGGCAGAGACGCCAGGAGGGCGTGCAGTTCCTCGTAGAATTTGTTCATCGCCTCGTCAGGACTAGTCATCGGCTGGGCGTAGGCACTGACGATGGTGACGAATTTGCCATTGGATGGAGGCACGGCGTCTACGACATGCAGAGGAACATGGCTAAACCTTCCATCGGGGCTCGGAAAGGTGCTTGCTAGGGACTTGTGGCGCCACACCTTGTTCAGCTGACAACTTAAACCCGACCCTGTCAAAGTTTTGACATCCTTGCTCATGTCAAACCAGACGAAGCTGAAGTAGGCAAGAACGGCAGGATTTATTGGTAGCAATAAATCCTGCCGTTCTTGCCTACTTCAGCTTCGTACCGGGGACAAAATGCTTCAAACCAGACGAACTTTTTGCGAGGAGTTCCTTGAGGTTCCGCTTGCATGGTAGGGGAGTCCGTGAGCGTCCGACTCGACTCATCGAGGCGGGTGTGAAGGAACGATGAGGAGTCTAGACGCCACAGAAGATTGTGCCAGTCCCGGTGGTTAGCAGAACGCCTACGAGCTGGAGGCCACTGACGAACTCATCCCCAGGACAAGCGACTCGTCGTTGCCCTACCGCCGTGACAGTAAGGTCGACCCGATGTGAATGTTGGGGCGTGGAGAGGGAAGGGCTGGACAGCCGACCAACCACCTCATCCTTCATGCAATCAATGTAGCAGATGTTGGTGCTGAGTTGTGAGATGTAGTCCGAATGAGCAATCTCTATCGGGCTATACTTGTCAGAGTGGGATAAAAGGACAAGTGCCAGCAGCTTAAGATCCGTAAAAATCGTGAAGTCTCTACCTTCAAGGAGGTGTTTGAAATGATTCGCAGCCAAGCAAAGGGCGAGTAGTTCTCAGCTAAAGATACTGTAACGCGTCTCAGTCGGTGAGAGTTTCTTGGAGGAGAAAGCCAATTTTCGAGTCGAGCCAGCAAGGTATTGTTGAAGAACGGCACCTGCGACTATGGTCCAAGCGTCGGTGGAGCCCAGCTTGCATCAATGGACAAATTTGCATACCGCGGAAGAAAAGCTTCGAGGGGTATCAAGATCGCTGACAAAGTGACCCGCCGGATCTCTAAAGCCAACCAAGCCTTGGGTCAGTTACACGAGTCCGTTTGAAATCGCTGTTGATTCCAACCCAACAAGAAACTCAACATGTATAGGACGGTAGTGCTCACGACCCTACTCAGTGGACGACTTACGCCAGTCTAGCCAGGAAGCTCAATCACCTTTGCCTTAGTTGTCTCCCCAAATACTGAAGTTGAGGTAGCAAAACAGAGTCCCAGACACGGAATTCCTAGAACGAATTGAATTCTTCAGTATGCGCGCAATGCTGAGGAAAATCGAACTGCAATGGAGCGGCTACGTGGTGAAGATGGACAACGAGCACCTATCGTGGTTGCCATTCTACGGCTACGTCGTCACGGATGCTCGACCCGGAGGACAGTTTCGTAACAAGGACACTGAAAAATTACCTCAAGAATCTTCATATTAACCTGCAGACCTGAGAGACCTCGGCCAGGATGGACCGGCCTGGAGAGCAGAGCTAGAAACTGAAACGGAAGCCTGCAATGCTAACCGGGTTGCATTTACAAAAGTCAAAAGAGCGTTTCGTAAGTTTCAAATCTCGCAGATAAATTTCAACACTCTCTCCCTTCCATCATTTTCGCGATGCCAACGGACATTGCGCGCACGGATTAGCCTCGTCGGGCATCTTCCGATCCAATGCACAAATAGCGCTTCACACTCTCCCCTCTCTCTAAAAACCGCCTCTATTCCCATCACCGCAGCCACCAAGACGTCGACGACTACCACCACTGACGATAAAAGCCCCGACGCCTCGTCACCCAACACCCTTACCACTGGTGTGAACACTCCCGAGGCTCTGTCACACACCAAAACCTTCACCATCGCTACCACAACTGCTACATGCACCAGCAATGCGGACTCAAGCCCAATCTATCGTCATTGCGATTGCACCTTCACGTCACACATAGACCTGTTCGGTCACTTGCGGCTTCAATGCACTGAGAGAAGCAAACCAGTGCCAGGAGCACTAACATACGTCCGCCTCAACTGCACACATTGCCCAAGCACATTTAATCATCGCATGATTTTAGTCAGCCAAACGCGACTTCATGAAACTGCAGCAAAACACTGCAGTTCAACCCTATCGACACACGTCGCCTTTCCAGCTCATACACCGCACGCGAATCTGTCTCACATTACCCACTTCATGCACAGAACATACAACGTTCACATCATGGGGGAAATATGTTTTTTGGCGCAACCTGATGCTTAATCAGATCATGTATGGCACACGCAGACAGGCTAATGTAGCTCTGTCGGGCACTGCGTCCAATCACGACACCGAATGACTGGTAGACTCGGACAGTCAACTGGTGCACGGAAGATGGAAGAAAGGGAAAGAGAGAATTGAGCTGATTCTGGGGAACTCATCTCAACGGCACATCAACACATTCCCTGCTATAATAAATCTGACGCGTTTTGAAGCTGTCAAGATGAGCTTGAAGTTGGGGCATGGGAAACGTCCAAATGACGGTATGAGTTAGACCCCGCAGTCAGTCCAGTGTGTGGGTGTGAAGTGAAAGACTAGTTGATTAGAATTCAGACTCAATAAAAAGAATGGAACGTGAGGTCAACTCTACGGACTCTGTCTCTACACCACTTCAACCCCTTTCCTTACTACGAACAATCTGACTCGCTTGAATCTACCACGGTGCGCCGAAAGCATGACTTAGAAGGCTGCCGACTAACGGGAGAACTCGGTCCTTCGCTCAGGACGGAGAGTCGGACTGCAACGTCTCCTTAGTATTGCACTCCCACTCGGATCAGATCCGAGCCGTCCCCCTTGTGCAAAGCCCGATAAGCCGTGCGCAAGTCAAGTGTGTGACACGCGTAGACGGACTGTTTAACTTCTTCAGCCACTGCATCGGATCTCGCCTCTGGTCGTCCTGACTCTGCCATGTCACCGGACCCAAGCGTTTGAGGAGGTAGAGGGTGCGGTAGATGCGGCGCAAGTTTGCCACCACTGCAAACTAATTTGTGAGCGAGTCACCGTCCTTGTGCCCATCCCGTTGTGGGTCACACGGTGGATATCGTCGTTTACGACGTTCGAATTGACAGCTTGTTTCCGGAACAGTCAGTTCTTACCTTTGGAAATGGCGTTGAAGAAGCTGACTACCGTGTTCCACGGCACCAATCGAATGAGCAATAAATCAGGCAAGAGAACCGACTGAATAGCAATATCTAGTTCGAATATTTGGTCTCTATGTCCCATGACGTGGGACATCAACACCACCTTCAGAACTCATCGCAACGTGTCTTTGGACAGCGGCAACTCAGTTGGTTTCACTATCTCCCTGCATTTTTTGCGTCAGAATGTTTTGGAAGATGGGTCTATCGCCGCTTCCCTTGGACTGCAGCGTTATCCGTACACGACATAGTTTTCCATTCCTCATGAGCGTTTGTATGAGCCATCTCCCGTTGACTACTAAAGTTCCTCACGTGTAGCCTGCTATCACACCTTTGCATCGGGCAACGAAATTAATCAGTCCAGACTAGGATTCGCATTGTAAACACTACCAGGCTCCACTGCACACGGGAAGAAGGAGACATGATCGCTGGAACAAGGACTTTATTTGCCTGACGTTTTGGACGCGCAATCTCACCCATCACTCGAGGCAAAATCACATAAGAGAAATGTTATGCACAAATCTTGCAGTATTAATAGGATGTGGTAGTCAGACCTTCGTAACCGGCTTGTCCACTGTGTGCTCCTCGGCAAGGTGAAACAGGCACGGAGACTTGCGCTGTAGACTTGTTCAGAACCTACCGCACTCTCTCTTCCCCCACCTGGGCCCGATGTCAGGACAGAGTCGAGAAGACCGGAGGTGGGACAGGAAGCAGGTGGCTTGCACGGCGTATAACCGCACCTAGGCGCACCATTACACCCCTGGTTCACAATAAACACTTGGCCAGGATTCTAATCAACAACAGCACCACAACGGGTTAGAAAGACGAGGATGACTGAGCAACCATGCTCACGACCTGTGTACCCGGCGGGAGCGCAAGCGCATCTACGTGCAGGGAACCAGGTGCCGGAGAACTGCCAGCGCGCACCAGGCTGCAAGAGCCATGATTTGCTGATCCTGGAATAGCAGACGGCAACATTCTTTGAGGCTCAGAAGGGTGACACGCAGCACTGCAGTAACCTGGACCATTCTTATAGGATGCAGTTGTTAGGTCACTGCATATCCATCAAAATTCGGAGCTCTTGCATCCATCGCGGATGATTGCACATGTTTAGAAAATGGCCCGATTGGCCGCATTTGTCGAAGTTTCTCACTCATATGGGTTCTTGGACTGCTTGGTTCGCCGACAGTGGCACTGGGACCAGTTCTCACCCGAGAGCTGCCGCGTGGCTAATTAGTCTACACAGGCAAGTCGACATCGAATATGAAGGCGGGAGGTCATTGAGCCTGTTACGCTTGCCGTCTGCTGCTTGGGTCATAGACCTCCAGTCCACAGCCCTTCAACGAACGTTAACGACCTGCTCTTTAATTATTCAATCATACTTCTTCGCTTTGGTAGACTAACCAGTCAGACAGGAGGCATACATATGAACACTGCTCCCGGCGCTGGTAGTGACAAACAAAACTGCCTAGCCGCCTTCACGCCAGTCACTAACACTAGTGGCGAAATCGAGGCCAATATCGACCGGAATGCAGACCACGGAGCCTTTATCGCACCAAGTACGAACATCGCGATGAACGCGAGACCCCATAACGTGTTTGCATAACGGTTGCACACCGCGCATTCGCCTCCTACATCTGTTGCTGTTTCTGAGGATGATTTCGACGATGGGTCCGAAACGTCAGGCGGATAGAATCTCTGTTCTAGTTGTTGGGACTCCTCCTTCTCATAAGCCAGTGATACTGCCTACGGTGCAAAAAAGGGAAGGCAGCCATTTAAGTCGGTGGGCAGGACGGAGATCTCAATTAATATCAGGGCATCAATAAAACGAGTCCCT